TGTATAATGTTGCGGCCATGTGACCTTACATGCCTTGGCCAAGGTCTTCGTTTCTCTTTTGGTCTAATCTACTATTAGCCTCAATATTTCATGTTACACTGACTCTCTTGCCTTTATCTCTGTTTGTGTCTAATTATCTGTTTCTTTTCCAAATATCTTCATCTATTTAAAATTGAGACCCATTCTATTTATTTTCTATTCATTCATTATTTTTATTTGTAAATATACATTTAATTATATGCATTAATGCAGTAACTTGTTTATTACATAGTATGTTCATTAAAGTGTAATATCTGTGAGGATATATGATTGACTAATGTATGATCATAAAACAGGTTTGGATGTGGGCTGGTACCAAATTCAAGCACTATTGCCATGGCTAAGCATTTGAATTTATCTTGTACAGCCCAAGAAGCACTGAAAATTTGGAAGTAAAATGGAAACATACTTCAGTTTCAGTTTATTATAGTATTTGTACTTTTTATGGAATATAGACAAAAAAGGGTTGGACAAGAAAACTAAATAAACCTTATTGAAATAAATAAGAATGGAGTGCTGAAAAACTAAATTAAGCCAGAGAAATGTTAGAGCAGGAAACACTTTTAATAAATTAGAATAAGATGTAATCAATGACTGGGTTACATTGGAAGCTGGCTAAATGGCAGAGATTAATATACTGTGCTTCCTGTAGATCAATGACTGAGCAAAGACAGGAAGGGAAAGACTTGAAAGAAGAGAAGGATGGGGTTCATCTGACTCCACAAGGAACTCTGGAGCTGGAATACACACTGGCATTAAATCCCTGGCTGGGGCTGTTAGGCTGGCGCTTTACCTTCTGCAGCTGATTAGTCACTGGACATGAGCTTCCTGCATGAATGAAAAATGACTCGGGTGTATGTTTGTCTTTAGGCAACATCTTACAGAGTCTGACAACTGGGAGTGTTTTGTTGCAACCCTCTCAGCCACCAGGAGGAACATCTGGGTATCGCAGAGTCTCCAGCATCCCCCTACTCAACTCAGGAGCTGAGAAGCAAAAGATCCCAAAAATGTACGAGAGTTATATGAGAATGAGTCCAAGCTGGAGATAAACATTTCAGAAATTATTGCCTTTCTGAAAATAGTAGAAACCCTGGCCACACATGATAATCCTTAGAAAGAGTATATGAATGACAGGTGTATTGAGGTGCCTATAAAACCCTGAAAGAAAACAGACACAGGTAACCATGCCACTCAAAAGAAGAGCTGAAGAATGAGCTAAAGATAAAGAGCTAGCAAGAAAGCCTTATACTATAACAAGAACAAATAAAGTGAATCGCAATAGTAGACACTTGCTGTGCGTTTGCTAGAGGCCAGATACTCTACACTCATTACACATAAATTTAATCAGCGAAGATGCCCAATGCAGTCAGTGACATTGTGATCATGTCTTTCCACAGTACAGAAATTTTAAGAGATTCAAAAGCACCCTCAATATTGATAGCTAAAATATCAAAGGACTGATGATTTCCTTCCCCAAACATTTGTTCTTTACTCTTTCATAAAAAGGTTGATGGTTACCTTTACAGAAAGAACCAGGAAATAAACTATGGAAGGATCCATTGGTAATAGTAGCTAGGATGTCTGGATTGACACAGTATACTGGAGCATCAGTGATGTTAGGGAGACTCCAATGGCTGGAAGACAAAACTGGAAGTGAAGCAAGAAATGTGTGTTCATAATGGCTAGGAATGTGGGTTCAGAATTTAGATATTGATGATATAGATACTGACACAGGCACAGATAGATTAAAGAAAGTTAAGTCACTTGAGTTGACAGTGATCTCTGATCTCTACAAAAACAATAGACCAACAAAAGTTCCGGTATATCCTGAAGAAACTTCCTTTTACATAGTTTGTCAAAGGAGTTCATGTGACTCCCAACACAACAAAGATTACTGATTTATCTCTTGGTTGACTCTCAGAAGTTAAAGGGAAGCTCATATGGTTGGAGACACTGCACACTTACAACTTGGGCTTGGGTGATTTGAGATGAATCTACTCTGAAAACCTCCTTCTTTTGGTTTAGCTTCCATGGTACCAGAAATTACTATGCAATCTGCCAAAGGAGAGAAGTAGTTAATAGCCCTACTCAGCCACAATACCTATGAACTACAACAATGACAAGTGTGACAAGATACCCAAAAAGTTTTAATAAGTGGACTCACATTTATATAACCAATAGGTATCTAATGGATTTAAGGCCCACACAATAGGAGGGAAATCATGACTGCTATTAGAAACCTAGCCTACGTCTGGGGACAAATGAAGACACAGACCTTACAAAAGAATCTATTACCAATAATTTTCTAGAGCATCAGAATTCCTAACTAAATTCTAAATTCTATCTTTACACCCACAGATAAGTATAGCTATCAGCCCTCATCAAAGAAGCTTCTTGTTATAGCATTCGAGACCATCATGGAAAAACACAACTGAACATCATGCCTGTATAAACAGTTCAAGGGAAGCCCAGTTCTAGTGGAAATATCCATTATAACTCCTGCATTTGTGCTTCAGAGACTTTCATGGAAGAGGAGCCAGAAAGATTTTTTAAGAAACAAAATACCAGGAAATATGCTATAAAAGAATATCTCCTAAAAGCAGGGACATAAAAATATATTGGTACAATGGCAATATCAGTAGACATACAAACACAAAAGTGGGGAAAGTTCAAAGGTTCCCATCTCTAGACAAAGAATTACTGGAAACTGATGTTTATTGAGAAAGAGAATTAGCCTCACACAGGGATGAACCATCTTAATGGTTACTCAATTCTAAGTGGTCAGGTTTGAAATTATATTGACAGAAACAACAAAAAGGACTTAGCAGGTTCCATTCACATATTTCTGTGTGTGTGTGTGTGTGTGTAATAATAATAAACAAAGAAAAAGAAATTGTCAATTTAATAGTGATGGGAGACATGGAATTGGAATGAAGAAAGAAAATGGCAAAAGCGATAAAATTCTATGTTAAAACTGTGTAGACATTCTTTCAAAGGAAAACAAAAGGTGGAAGATCTTTAGATATGCTTATATTGTAAAGGACAGCTTGAAGAACAAGAAAGGGCACAGGTACAATGGAAAGAGGAAATGGAGGATGTTAAAGGGTCTTGAAAAGCAGGTTGCAGGTGATGAGGGTCTTAGCAATACTGAGAGGAAACCAATTTCTTCTCCCGAGCAAAGTGAAGGAAGTGTGACAGCTGGTTTGACTTCTAAGCCCCAAAGCCAAAGGCCCTTAAACTGTTTAGGATTCTGAGATTAGCCCTATATACTGGAATCAGCACCATGTTCTAAGTCAACATCCTCTTACTTGTGTTTCCTGTGAAGACTGGCCACATGGTCTCACTGGGGGAGAAAACAAACAGCTGTAAAAGAACAGCAATAGGAAACTCCCACAACAATGTGGAGATAAGACTGAAGATTTGTTGGAATGAGGAAAAGCAACGGGAACAAGGAAGAAGACGCGAAGGTTGCAAAATCAGCGTTCTGTTGGCCAATCGTGGCAGGGTCAGAATGGCTAAACTGGTGTGTCAGAACAACGAACAAAGGGCCTTAAAGCCCTGCTTCCTGACTGCTGACAGGAAGCTGCAACTACTCAGATCATCTGCTTCCTCAGTGATTCATACTCAGCAGAGAGGGAGTTCTCAGACCATCCATCCTAAAAACCTATAGATTCCAGAAGTCTGAGAGTCCTGGCATGTTCATTAATTCTTTTGTTCGTATTTCACCAGAAAGGAAGATAATTTGCACACTTCAATGTCTCCCAGGGATTGACTGGCTGACATGTTTACATTTGATTAAAATGATTCCCACAGGATGTATTAAGGAGTTAGAAGGGTCCATACTCCCTACTGTGAGGGCCAGGGAAAGGGTAGTCCAGAATGCACAAGTCATTTTTAAAAGGAGCTCAATTTAATTTTGTTTGGAAACGATTTGAGATAAAAGGAGAAAGGGTAGTGTCAAATGCCAGATTCATATGAAAGTGTTTGATAAATACATCTCCCTATCCTGCTCTTGACTCAGAATAAAAGTAGGAAGGAAATGCACAGAATAACTGCAAAGCTTGCCCCTGGACAGGTATCACCCCAAACATTGTGGAGCTAACCTTCTCTGTCTAATAATGAAAGATGCAGCTTGTAAACTGCAAAGATACCTCCTTACTCTGAAGAGCTGTCAATGAGAATTTTGAGTGATATTCCAGCTCAAAGGGCAATTTTATACTTTTCAAAAGACAAAGTCAGCTTTCAGAGTCCATGAGTATGATGTATTTCATGCTGTCAGTGAAGAACTATCTAATGAAAGTTTGCATGCAGTCTTTCAGCAGGCGGAGAGGTGCCACATAGCAGCTAATAGAATAATTGCTAGTATATTCAAACAATTATAGGCTATAATCTTCTTGGTCCCTCCTTTCACGATCAGAAGAGTAACTGTGAAATTTTAATCCCATGCTAAGGGTTCTTCCTAAGCATTCCTAGTCTTGGTAAATGTCATGATGTCATATAGCTAAATGCTACTACCCATAAGTCTTAGTAAACTCAGAGTTAATGAGCAACATTTGGAAAACAGGCTTTTCACAAGAAGAAATTAGTGGCCAAGTGGTTTTCATTTTATCTCATAAAAGCTGGCAGAGTTTTGGCATCTTCAAATTCTGACTTAGACACATATATTTATACTTTCATATCAGACTGCTTTTTAGGTGAATGTTTTCAACTCTGTAATTAGTAACGCACAATAGAGGCTTTGGCACTTAATTACAGCATGGCTAAGACAATAATAACATGAGAAATGCTAACATTGAAGGCAGTACTTCTTGACATATCTTTGGCTACATTCTTATTGGCTGGGAAAGAATTATATATGCTTAGTGAATAAACCAAACAGAAATGAAGGCGTGTGCGGGAATAACTCACATGAGTTTACAACAGGTACTTCAAGTTAATTCAAGTCCAGTCACTGCTGCTGATTTGGGTGAATACATCATGGGTAGCAGGAGTGGAGAAGACCAGGCACTCCTCTAGACTAGAAGACTCCTAACATTCTGCATCCTGACCATCTTTCAATCCTTCCAGGCTGGACCAGTAGGCAAAGGAAAGACAATGGCTTTTTATCCCCTTCAGATTGCTGGGCTTGTTCTTGGATTCTTCGGTTTGGTTGGGACGATTGGGACAACACTTCTGCCTCAGTGGAGAGTGTCAGCTTTCATCGGCAGCAACATTATTATCTTTGAGAGGATCTGGGAAGGGCTTTGGATGAACTGCATCCAGCAAGCTATGGTCACGTTGCAGTGCAAATTCTATAACTCCATATTGGCTCTCCCTCCGGTACTGGAAGCAGCGCGTGCACTCATGTGTGTGGCTGTGGCTCTTTCCTTGGTTGCCCTCATTATTGGCATCTGCGGCATGAAACAGATCCAGTGCACCGGCTCCAGTGAGAGGGTCAAAGCCTACTTGCTGGGTACCTCAGGAGTACTCTTCATTCTGACTGGTATCTTCGTTCTGATTCCAGTGTCCTGGACAGCCAATATCATCATCAGAGATTTCTACGACCCAACCATCCATGCAGGGCAGAAGCGAGAACTTGGAGGAGCACTCTTCCTTGGCTGGGCTACTGCTGCTGTCCTCTTCATTGGAGGCGGGCTGCTCTGTGGGTATTGCTGCTGCAACAGAAAGGAACGATGGCACAGATACCCAGTCCCTGCATACCGTGTGCCACAAAAGGATAACCAAAGGAAGGTTACTGTGCCTAGAAAAACTTCCACCAGCTACGTCTAAGGTTTGCTTCCAACATCAGCCCATGGCTTATGCTCATGTGTTTTATAAGGTCACCTCAGAAACTGTGAGTACATCAGGCAGGAGAGCTACTTTTATAGCAGATTTAAATTGAGATGAAAGTTGTGATTTGTTTTCCCTGAGTTAGGAATATAAATGACTTATTTGGACATTGTGATTCCCTTTGTGTTATTTGTGCTCACTCGTGTTGAACTCAGTATTTATTCTAATTTATATAGTAAAATATCAAGTGTCTTCTCACTGTAGGCATGTGATGATGATTACTAAATTTTGCTTCTCCTGTATTCTAATAAGAAAGTAAAATTTTAGATTATAATTGATATCAATAAAACATACCTGTTTTCAAACATAACTTATTATTTTCACTCCAATTTTTTATTACACAGACATTAATAGCTAAATGGCAATAAATGTAAAGCAGTAGACCTAGAAAATTTATAGATTAAATAATTTTGGTTGAACTCATCAAAGGTTATGACTGATTATTTAATATTGATTTTTTAAAATTTCTTCTGGAAAACTCATACTAAAAATTCAACTTTTTAAAAGATAATAAAGGAATTCCATTTTTCCCTATGCAAGAGGGTTTTCAAAGTCTTCAATTTATGTAGGTTAATCTTTCTTGACCCATCTATTCAAAGAAGATAATTTATAAATTAAAATAATATACTTTCAAGGTTTATGATTTGCACATTCAAGCAAACAGAATCTGGGTTAGGCAAAGAAATAAATTAAGACAAATGAAATTCTTGTTGAAGGGATCCACAAGTTCAAGCACTGAAGGAATGGCTTCAGTTCTCTTCCCTATTTAGTTAGTGTACAGGTTTAAACATGCAAAGAGAAACAAAGAGCCAAGGTACTTATTCAGATAATATTCAGGCTGAAATAATTCCTACTGCTTTTTTTTAATTCTCTAATAGACAAATGATGATGTGGATGCATTGCATCATGCTTGAAACATACGTTCTCAGGTCTTTGAATTTTGTGTGTACTTAACAATATCAAGATTAAAAGTGGAATGGGTTTCAGAGGTAAATATGGGTATAAGATGTTAGTGAGAAAAATCTATTCTTGTAAGTGGCTTCTAATAGCCTTGCTATGCTGTGAATTAGTGTTTGGATATTCAATATTAATCCTTAAAAAGCGTATTTATTTTATAATAAAATATTTAATACTCAGTATGTAATTTAACAAAAAGTTTTAATTGCTCATCAAATATTTCTCATGTGTTCATGCTTATCATACTATAATAAGCTAATAAAACTGCTATGTATATGTTATTTAGTTACAAGGTTAGTTGGAGAATGCATATCTATTCTTAAAAATCTACCCTTTTAACTGACACATTAATTTAACACTAGCTCAAAGCTAGATCCTGTATGAAACCTTTCTTTTCTTTTCTACCAACCAACCAAGTTCTCAATAATTCAAAGCCCTTTAACAAAGCAAAAATTACATTCAAAACATAAGGAAGGTTAAATGTAACAAGTACCATAGCTGTAAATATTTTCAAATAAAAGCAATAAAAATATTTGTAAAAGTAGTTACTTCAGTGACATTTTCTGGGTATTTTCTTTTACCTGTAAAACCCTAATATGGTTGTACTGAGAAAGAGTCATTTATCTTATGCAGCTGAGTAGGTAAGCCATCAAGAGAGTGAAGACATATGCTTAAAGGTTGTCAGGCAATCATTTGTCTTATCTTTTGATTGATCTAGAAATAATTAGCTTTACAAGAATTGGCCCTTCACTCTAAATGAAGTGTGTCTTTCTGCTGGCCAGTGGATCACAGAGTACAAGGTACAACTCTGGTGGAGTCATGACATAGCGTTAGCTATCGTATTTTTAAAAACGTTTTAAATTTTTCCAGACAGGGTTTCTCGTTGTAACCTTGGCTATCCTGGAACTCTCCCTGTAGACTGGGATGGCCTCAAACTCACAGAGATTCACCTGCCTCTGCTTCTTGAGTGCCGGGATTAAATGCATGCACCACTACCACCGAGTAGCTACCAAATATTATGAAGAAAAAAAAAGCTCACCAACAGATTTGTTTCCTGCTTTTCCATTAATCAAGATATACTTTTGAAATGTTAATTTCCCATCTTATAATGGGCTGCGATATTTTCACTAATACAACAAAATAAATTTGCTAATTTTAAATACATTTAAGGGTACATTATAAATGCAGCCTTAAGAATTATCTATCACAATCACAGGCTATTCAAAAAAATACGTGCTTATTTCCTAAGATTTAACTGAAATTCAATTTTATGGAAAGCTTCATTTAGACTTAATAAATATTTGAGGATTCTGCATAAGCAATTTATAGACTGAAAAATAGTTGCCAAATTTTACCAATATGTATCTTTCCTCCTCCAGTGTAGAGATAAAACAAAGAAATGTAAAGACAGTTATTATTTTTCAGTCTATATGTATAAATTCTGAGGTGGATCAGTGGAGCAAATATTTCCTCAAATTTAAGATTACATAGGAATTTCTTAAGGAAATAATACAGAAGAGCAGAGTTAGGAGACACTAAATGTCTTTGTCTCCAGAGCACGTGTGTTGGGAGAGGCTCCTTCTTTTTAAACCCAGTATTTGAAGGCAAAACTCAGGAAAATGATGAGCTCTAAGATAGGTTTAAGAACCCAAAGAAAGACAGAGCTATGTCATGATTTATATGTTGGGAGCATGGATGGGTTTTCAAAAATCCATGTTGGATACAGGGAGATAGGTAGAGATAAGAAGCATCTATGTGACGTGTTTCGTCGGAAAGAAAAAGAAAATATTGTTTAGATTTCCACAAGTGAAATGTCATTAGAATGAAGAGTATATTCTCAAACATACATAATACATACATACATATTACATACATACATACATACATACACACATGCATGCAACTGCACACACACACATACACACACACACACACACACACACACACACACGTGTGTGTGTGTGTGTGTGACAGTCTTCTCTAGCCCAGAACTTTAGTAATGCACAGAATAGCCACGCAGTCATCTGTCCTCAGAGCAATCCTTTTGGTCCTTGTCTTCCCAACAAGATCAGTCTCTGCATCTTTGTGCTATGGAGTTTGATGTCAATGTCTATGCACAGCAGTTAGTGAGACTGTTGTGATTAGGGAAAGGTCATCATCTACAACAAATTACCAAGCATAGGGGGTTTGGAGAGAGGAAGACTCAGGGAGAAATGGTGTAATTACATTAAATTGTTTTAAAAATACAAATATTAAAATGAGATAAATTTTCTCTTCGTTATTTTCAGTTGGTCACTTTTAAAAATAACGACACATTTAAAAATTGTTGCTTAAGGAAAAACAGAAAACATTACTTGATCTTCTCAATGCCCAAAAAAGTAATACAAGACAGAAAATGTAGCAAAGTACTATTGAGCATTTTTGTGTGTCATGGGTCATACTTTTAAGCGTGTTTAAAGTGCCCAGTGAGCCTTTGTTGGAAAAATAATTTTTCCTTTGCAAATGGTTGTTAATTGGAGATAGCTTTTGGGTAAGGATGAGAAATCATCTACTTAACCCTCTTAGCACCAGGTCACCATCAGGCTTGAACCTGTGCAGGTCATGTGTCTACTGCCTCTGGCTCTGTAACTTCATATGTGCATCCGTCCTCTTGTGTCTGGACAAACACTGGAGGTTTTTGGTGTCATCTCTCCCCTATTGCTCTTATAGTCTTTTGGTCTCCTCACCTGCATAGCTCCCTGATGCCTGAGGGGAAGGAATTGATGGAGACATCCCATTTAGGACTGAGCTTTTCAAAGTCTCTCACTCTCTGCACATTGTCCAGTTGTGAATTTCTGTATTTGTTCTCATGCCTCAAGGGGAAGTTTATGTGATGCTGGCTTAGGGAAGCACTGGTCTGTGAGTAGAGTGGAACATTGTCAGGGGTGAATTCATTGCTGTTACAATAGTATTTGGTTTTTCCCTAGGTCCATGGTCTATCTAGTCTCAGGTTCTTAGCCACCTGAGCAGTGTTAGGCATGGGTGCATTTTGTGGAGTAGGTTTCAATTCCAATAAGATAGTGGTTGGTTACTCCATAATGTTTGTTTTGGTGCTAAAATAGTATGTTATGTGGGCAGGTCACCTTTGTAGATCACAGGTTTGTAGCTAGGTTGCTATTTACATTGCTCCTCTGGTAGTATGCAGATTGTCATGAACTGTCTGGTACCACGAACATTAACCAGTAGAGGAGAAGGCTCTAGTTAGGCATTAGCTAAACTTTTCCATGTGGGTTTTGAGTCTGCGATCAAATGAGGCCATTCTCCAACCCCAAAGAACTGAAAGGAATCCTCACTAAATAACTTACTTTAACATGAGAGTTTGAAACACAAAATGATTAAGTACAACTCTTTAAAAAAGTTATATGTGTAGACCAAAACACCTGGTACATGGGAGCTGGCAACAATTTGCTGAGAAAATGAATATTTCATGAATTAATGAAGGAAAAATTTAATCAGCATATAATAAGATATGACACCTAGGGGAAATCAGAGATCTTAGTCAACTTGCACTTTTAATATTCCTTTAAATAGAAATTTCAAGAAAATATTTATTTAATGGATAGATACTATTCACTAAGGAACTATTCCAGATAAAATGACAGGCAAAAACCAGACTTTAAGATGGAGCAAAGCTGTGGTCTCAATTGAGATGTGACTTAGGAAAGCCCTAAGGAAGTTTCTAGCAAAAATAATTATTTAAATAATTACTCAGGAGATTAAAATGTAGGTAAAGCTACAGCATAATCATTGATTTTTTTGCTATGATAATGTTGTGTTTGAGAATCTTTGCTATGCTACAGTTGAGGTGTGAGAATCTTTCCACGTCACGGCAGATTATGGCCCAGAGAACAAGGGAAGAACCAAGGGCCCACGTTATAACTGGCAGATGGGTCCATAGTGATCTTCTATTACCAACTTTTTCCCATCTTCTAAAGGTTCTACAGCATTCCCAAATAGCAACACCAGCCAGAGAAGCCATGTGAAAACATGACCCTGTGAGCCCTCACAAGTCAGAAAGAATAAACACTAAGATTAAACAAGCATGCAAGGCAGGGAGAAGAGAGGTCGGTCCTGGAAGATTGCAAGGGAAAACAAGGGAAAACACTCCATCTCATCTTGAAGAAAAACCATACTATGAGCATTGTTATTTACAAGGTGATGGATGTTCTCACAGGCATTGGGAACCCCAAGACCACTGTAAATACCCCTTTCTTCCTTTCTTCTTACCCAGGGCTGCCAACATGGTAAAACTCTCAGACTTGTGAAGAGTCAAGAGTGTCTCTAGATACCTCCTTCTCAGTCAA